CCCAGACGCCCGTCTAGCCCATTCGACTTCAGGAGCCAAGCTAGTGTAGAGAAACGCGACAGCACCTTGATCGATCTGGTGACCAATTGCGAGTAGCAGACGTCCCATATACGGAGAAGAGCCAGGACCTCCTTATCTACAATCCCATAGTTCAGCTCGTTGATCTTCAGCGTTCGACTGGTGAAGGTTACTGGCCAATACACGCCACCATGTTCCTGCATTAGTGCCGCCGAGATCGCCCACTTGTTGGCATAGAGGACTATGACCGGCGCCCACCCCGGATCGAAATGCTTCAAGATCGGGGTGAAGATGATCTTCGCCTTGCGTATGGTGAACGCATTCATTGCGCTTGTCCAGCGATCGCGTTCCTCGTCCGCCGGTGCATCACCTTCCTCCGGCTCCCCGGTCGACTTCAACCGTGCGATCAGGTGGTCTCTCTATCTCCCGAAGTTCGTACAAGATCGCTGCATAGACGGCAAAGTCCTCGATGAAGCGGCTGTAATAATTCAGGCTTCCAAGGAACGACTGCATCGACTTCAGCTTGGTGGGGAAAGGGAGATTCGAGAAGGCTTCAAGGTCCTTCGGTTTCGCTTCCAACCCGTCCGTCGACACTTGGTGCCCCAAGTAGGTCACCTTGCGCCTTCCCCAGTAGCTCTTGGCTACACTGATCGATAGGTTCCAGCGATCGCATACGTCCAGCAGATTTTCGACCTTGTTGCACATGCTGTCCCACGTGGCTCCCGTCACAAGAATGTCGTCGACGTACGATCGTCGTCCCAAGATCGACGGTTTGGGTTCTGGTTCAGGCTCTCCCTCCTCGAACACATCGACCGTCTTGTCTTGGCCGGGCTTGATACGCATGTGCCCATATAGGGCGTTATCCACGATCCGCTGGTAGATCTGGGGAGCGTTCTTCAGACCGAACGGCATCCTCGCCCACTCGAACAGTCCGAATGGCGTGATGAATGCCGAGATCAGTCTCGCCCGTGGTGTCATGGACACGACCCAGAATCCACTCGCCATGTCAAGGGAGCAATACCAAAGCACCTTGTCCAAGTCCTCGAGAAGATCGTTGATCAACGGCATCGGGTGCACCATCAGCCTCGTCAAGCTGTTCACCACTTGGTAATCGATGCAGAGGCGGATGTCCACGCCGTTGGCCTTGATGATGACCACTATTGGTGACGCCCAAGGTGAGATCGATGGAGCGATGATCTTCGCCGACAGCAGTCCCTTGATGAGCATGGATAACTTCTCGCGGAATTGTGGAGCTACTCTCCGGCAACGTTGCGCTACCGGCTTCGCGTTCCCGACGTCGATATCGCAGATCGCCCCA